GTGTGAGACGGTACGTTATCTTTTTAATTTTTTCCCATACAAAAAATAAGTTTTGACGATTAAAAGGTAATTAAAATCACCATGAATGAAAAATCGTTGTTTTCGATATTGTATATGTATCACGTATCGCACAAAAAGACGAATGACGGCACAACGCGAAGACAGATAGCTAATAGGCAGCAGCTACAGGTCCGACGCTGTGTGGTAAAAGTACTGACCCTGGGAGTCATGACCCCCAGGACCCCCCTTACTTTTCACCCGAAAAAACAGTTTTTGCTTTTTTTGAAACAGCTTCCCTTTTGCAGTTCATTATTTTGACTGTCGTATTTTTATTTCGGGTGTATAATGGTGTATCCAAGTTTCATCTACAGTTATTGATCGGTGTCAAAATTAGTATTTATTGCGTCTAAACTGCAACAACGGAACGTTGGAAATGTTCATTCGAACACTTATTTGGTCTAACGTAAGCCAACGCGACATCCAACGCGCGAACAGCTTTCCCATGCCTAAATATTGGTTTAATATGTGACAAACATATTCTGTCGACATGTTCATAACTTCTGCTATCTATCTCACTTCAATTCAGCGGTTCACGATTTGGTGAAGTTCTTGTCAGCTGTTGCAGTTTTTGGACATGTCGAACGTTCATCGTATTCAAAATTCAAAGCTCTTAGAGCTACGTTTAAATTCAGCTGCCGAAAATTTCACTGTGGTAAATGATGGTGCATACACAGAATCTAACTCATCTTTGATTTCCAGGCGTATTGCCTTTCTAAAACAAATATTTAATGACGTCTCCATACTCGATTTTGTCCATTTTCATAAAAACACTCACATCAACTAACTCAAACGACTGATGCATAACAATGGCACGTCCAAAATGGCTGAAACTTTGGTAAGTAATATTCACTAGCTTTTATTAACGAGTGCTGCTATTTTCATGTTGTGGCCGAAAACTTTTCAGATTACCCTCGTACTAACAGTAACTCTGATTATAAATTTTCTCTAATTCTTCATTGGGGAAATAATTTATATCAACGTGCTCATAATGTTCAGAATTATTTATCAGAAATAATAAGAATATATAGCTCTATTTCCAAAACTAGATCAGAACGAATTAAGTGAAAGTATTATGATATCAGTTAATTAATTAAATTCACCAATAAATTTGTTTCGTTTTTTGTAAATGAAGAGAACCGGAAAAAATATTATGAAACTAACCAAAAACGCGCATTTGGTGCGGTAAGTTCGTTACCAGGGCAAAATCGTAGAAAAGACATTCCAAGGCAATGAATTCCAAAGCGAAAGAACAAAGGCGTTTCTTTACGGGAACTGATAAATTCCAGTGGGGAGTGCTATAAATGGAATTAACATTCACGGCACACCTGATTCAATGTATTGGCCATTCAAACGACAAAACAACACGGCCATCATCTTCAACAAACCGGAATATCGCTTGTTCCCCATTTCATGCCTCTTGAGAAAATGATCTTCATCAGCTCTTGCTGGTAGTGACAGACAACACGAAAACATCATTAAATATCTTCTGAGAAAAATTGTGCACCCATAGTGAGTTTTTGTACCCTTAATTTTCCACCAAATCAGTTCACTCAAGTTGTTATTGTAATAGTGGTATTGCCAAAGATTTTTGGACCTCTACAGCTGTTTGAGAGTCATCAGCCTTCGATTCCTAAGTATTCAGGACAAACCAGTATCGATGTCACTTGAGGCACATGGTGGGACGGTAGCCTGGTCGGTTGTCGTGGGTGGTTTGCTCCACTCACTCAATCGACCGCTGTGTGAACCGGTGGTTCGAACCGCAAGGCTGGACGATCGATTTTCACATCGGGTTGGACGATATAGTCCAACCTGTGTTAGGAATCACATGTCAAAAGGTAAGACCTCGGTAGTCCTTAGCTCGCAAAAGTTTCGACCTTTGAGAATTGTCGTACGGGGAGCGATAGCTGATTAACGGAAGAATAGTTTTTAACAGATTTTTAACATCAGTGCCTTAAGTATAGCCTGGCTGTCAGTAAAAATAGTGATCCGCTCTTGTCAATGGTGCCTTAACATTTCCTGCACATTTTGTGCATTTTGCACGCATTTCAGCTTGGAAAACTGATGACTCTGTTGACCAAGCAGGTAGCTGTGTCCCATATTCGGTTTTCAACCCGTTTCCACCGATCGTGTTCTCGGAATGACTGTTCATTCTTCGCTATTAAATGGTTAATCAAAATTATGTATTTTTTCGATAAAAATAAAATTATACAAACCTGTGTACCGTCGGCAACCCTAGAAGGCAGCAATTTTTCTTGAGTAGCTGCTTCAAAACAACTCGAATCGGGACCGTGCGGTGTCATGATGCTATGTAGAGTGGCTCCACCTGGTGCAAGACCATTTTTCTTGGCCTCATATTCTCCAAAAATCAGCCCCATGAACTCCGACATGCAGTTTCGGTGATAGTATGGTGGTCTAAAAGTGTGCTCTTGGACGGACCATCGCGGGGGGAATATCACGAAGTCTGCTATTGCCGTCCCTTTTCGTTCTGACTGACAAGTGAGGACCGTGAATATTGATGGATCCTGGGAAACAAATGAGGGAGGTTTGATAAAATCCAATTGTTGTTATTCTGTTATAAGGTACTCGTAAATAGTTTTTGGGATGCTGATGAATAGAACTCCTACCATTTTTTGAGAAAATCAGAACAAAACTTACTGATAAGTTTTTTTTATTCTTACTATAAAATTGAGAGGGCAGTGGTGATTTCTAAAACAGGATCTGATCGTCATTGATATGAATTTTTATTATTTGAGTCTAGTGTAAATTTTACATTTATTCAGTTCCTGTTTTCAGAAAGATCACAAGCATAAGTTCAACAGAATTTAATACTTTTCCATTATGACAGCTAGAAGATTTTTTTTTATTGATAATCCTGATCGCGAACTACGTCTGAAAATGTATCGACATTTGAAATAAGTAAGTATCACCTGACCATGTTTTTATTTCTTACTGTTCACATTCTACCTTGATTCAAAATTATCTGATAGTCTTTGAACCGTATCAGATTTGTCAACTTTTGCCAAATTCAATGCTTATCAAGCGAACATTTTTGTAACCAGTGAGAGTGAAATTATGGTTGTTCTTACATTTTTTGAAGCAAAACTGTATAGTTAAGTCTTTATTATTTAAGATATCTCTACAGTGAGGAAAATGCACTTTTGTTTGAGAAAATCATAGTAATAGTTGTTCAGAAATTTCTGGTAATCAATTTTTTCATTCATTCTAGTTATCGAAAGTCATTTCGTAGACTATTTTCACGTAAACATTCAAAAAACATGAACGAAAAAAGTTTTTCCAAACTACTTGCATTTAATTACACAAAAATCCCTTTCTACCCATCCAGTTTGTACTTAAACAATTGTTATTGAATTGAAACATCATTCATAGTAACGCTACACAATGTAATATACAAAAGAATATTGATATGAAATGTCAGAAACAATCGTCAAAAACTTCAAAGTACACCACTTTGAAGTTTTTGGAAAAAAAACTTATCAAAGGACTCGATTCTTTCATTGTGTAGGTACACTGTCATTGTAACAAGCATATTTGGTATCTTTCAGTGGCATAAAGTGGTAATGTTGAACATAAGAGTGCTGATGAATACCAGTGTTTGCCCTGAAACTTTGAAATGCACCATTGGGGATGATAGTGTTGTATGTAGTTAACATTTTATATCACGTATAGCGTTTATATGAATGAAATCTCTTTCAGTTCCATAATGAATGTTTATATTATTAACTGAATAGGAAAATCATTTTTACTTTCATGTAATTCAGTGTTACTGTCGAAGATACACAGTTTTTCTTCTAGTTTTTATTATAAGGAATCTTCTATGAAAGCTCAAATACCTATAAAGTTATAATTGTAATTTCTTTCTTCTCTTAGAGGTTTTCCACAATTTTTGTTAAACAATGGAAAAGTAGAAAGTCGAAAACTTCTTTCCAAAAAAATCAAACTCTCCTAAAACCATTCAATTTTCAAATCAGCTTCAAGTTAAAATGAAATCAAGTAAATCATATTATTCGGTATCTTCTTTTAATGATAGTTGTTATATGTATGAGTCGCTACACCAGTGTATAGGCATTTTAACATAATTGTTGATTGTTTGGTTGTTTCTTATGGTTGGTTATTTTTGGAACCTATTAGACGAAAGATATTTTCAGGATGTTCAAAACAATTTGCATACAAAAACTTGAATTAATTTTCAAATTTCACTTGAACCTAATAATTTTCTAATTTAAATGTATTGCTCTAGGATGTATTGAGTGTCGCATTCTCTGTTGACAATCGCCAGATAGTTTCTGGTTCTCGAGACAAGACCATCAAGTTGTGGAACACCTTGGCAGAATGCAAGTACACGATTCAAGACGATGGACATTCTGATTGGGTAAGGCTTTTTTTTAAAATAGCTATCTTTTTTGAATCCTTCCTAAAAAGCACCAGTTTGGTTTATCTGTGACTTGATTGGTTGTTGCCAGGAAGGAGATGAAAGTCAATTCATGGGTGTGAGCAAAATTTATACTTGATCTTGTTCTTCAATCTGAATTGAAACATTTTTTTTAACGGTACGAGAATTTTTCTCAAGGATTCATTTTCCTCAGTCGTTCAAATTGAAATCAAAATACTTTTTGAAATGCGCACTGATATATAGAATTATTGAAATAGTAATATTTGCAATAGATGAAATCTGTTCTGAAAAGTGTGTTCAAAACCTGTTTTTACCTTGAACCAGTTGTTGTCACCTAACAAACTATAAACCTAAGAAAATTAAACTTGGGCGAGCTAAAGATTAATGAGGTAGTGACCTTTAACGTGCGAGTCTTGGCATGAATTTGACGATGTGCAGTGAAAATGGGCTTGTTTCATGCTATTGAAAATAACACTGGTTTGCTTATAGACTGATCGAGTTAGAGGTATATTATACTTATCAAGCCTAATCGGTCCCAATACCTCTTTATATTTGCAGAAAAAAAAATTATTTGAGAAGCAAGAGTTTGAATTGGCCGCGTTTCTGTTGAAGAATAAAATTGATCGTGTCTACAGCGGTGTTGCCAAGTGCCAGTTATTTCAACAAAAATACGAAGTTATGAAACATTAGAAAGAGTACATTGTCTCATACATCAAGAGAGATACCTGACTGGGTGGCGATATGGCTAATATATAACGTTGAATTTCTTATTTTTGGTGGGTGGCATGAATGCATAATTGATTTATTTCATTAGGGTTCATGAGCCTCCGAACCATGGTTTTAGAGTACATTTTATGTCATGTGGAGAATTTTTTCATGAATTTGAACGTTAATGGGTTAATATACACTTCCATTATTGAAATTTCAGTGATATCA